CACCCTCATAGATCTTTTGCTTGAGGATGCTCCAAAGGTTCTCAATAGGATTGAGGTCAGGGGACGATGGAGGCCACACCATGACTTTCTCTCCTTTTATCCCCATAACAGCCATTGATGCAGAGGTATTCTTTGCAGCATGAGATGGTGCATTGTCATGCTTGAAGATGATTTTATTATGGAAAACATAGTTCTTCCTTCTGTACCAGGGAAGAAAGTGGTCAGTCATAAACTCCACATACTTTGCATAGGTCATCTTTACACCTTCGGGGACCCTAAAGGGGCCGATCAGCTCTGTTCCCATGATTCCGGCCCAAAACATGACTCCACCACTGCCTTGCTGATGTCGCAGCCTTGTTGGGAACAGGGTGGCCGTCCACCAACCATCCACTACTCCATCCATCTGGACCATCCAGGGTTGCACGGCACTCATCAGTGAATAGGACTGTTTGAAAATTAGTCTTCATGTATTTTTCTGCCCAATGCAGCCATTTCTGCTTGTGAGCATTGGTTAGTGGTGGACAGTTTATGCACATTTGCAAGACTCTGGAGGACTCTACACCTTGATGTCCGTGGGACTCCAGAGGCACCAGCAGCTTCAAATATCTGTTTGCTGCTATGTAATGGTATTTTAGCAGCTGCTCTCTTGATCCGATGCATGCATCTGGCAGAAATCTTCCTCAATGTGCCTTTATCTGCACCAACCCGTCTGTGCTCTGAATCAGCCACAAATCTCTTAATAGTGCGATGATCACACTTAAGTTTTCGTGAAATATCTAATGTTTTCATACCTCGTCCAAGGCATTGAACTATTTCACTCTTTTCGGCAGCAGAGAGATGCTTTTTCTTCCCCATATTGCTTGAGAATGGTGCTCTGTTTAATAATGTGGAAACACCCTCCTTTAGTAGTTTTTCCTTAAATTGGGCTCACCTGCCAATCTAATTATCACAGGTGTCCGAGATTGTTTTCAGTGATCAAAAGAGCCCTGACACACAATGCCATCCATGAGTTAAGCTGAAAAACAAAATATTTCATCTTTATACTTTGCATAGGTCATCTTTACATCTTCGGGGACCCTAAAGGGGCCGACCAGCTCTGTTCCCATGATTCCGGCCCAAAACATGACTCCACCACCGCCTTGCTGATGTCGCAGCCTTGTTGGAACAGAGTGGCCGTCCACCAACCATCCACTACTTCATCCATCTGGACCATCCAGGGTTGCACGGCACTCATCAGTGAACAGGACTGTTTGAAAATTAGTCTTCATGTATTTTTCTGCCCAATGCAGCCTTTTCTGCTTGTGAACATTGATTTGTGGTGGCCAAATAGAAGGTTTATGCACAGCTGCAAGACTCTGGAGGACGCTACAACCTTGATGTCCGTGGGACTCCAGAGGCACCAGCAGCTTCAAATATCTGTTTGCTGCTATGTAATGGTATTTTAGCAGCTGCTCTCTTGATCCGATGCATGGATCTGGCAGAAATCTTCCTCAATGTGCCTTTATCTGCACCAACACGTCTGTGCTCTGAATCAGCCACAAATCTCTTAATAGTGCGATGATCACGCTTAAGTTTTTGTGAAATATCTAATGTTTTCATACCTCGTCCAAGGCATTGCACTCTTTTCAGCAGCAGAGAGATGTTTTTTCTTCCCCATATTGCTTGAAAATGGTGCTCTGCTTAATAATGTGGAACACCCTCCTTTAGTAGTTTTTCCTTAAATTGGGCTCACCGGCCAATCTAATTATCACAGGTGTCCGAGATTGTTTTCAGTGATCAAAAGAGTCCTAACACACAATGCCATCCATGAGTTAAACTGAAAAACAAAATATGTAATCTTTGTGACACTTAAATAGAATTTGCATAATAATTTGGAACAGGGTGTGTTTGTAGAACACAACAGTTAGCACTAGTATAATCTTTGATGGCAACAGGTGTAAAACAGATGCATTACAGGTACAACAACATTCAATAACAATTACAGCAATAAGCACAGTAATGCAGGCCATACATGGGTCGAATTATGAACAAAGTTTGTTTAGAAAATTGGAAATTTTGGGCATTTTGTAATCCAATGGTGCCACCTTTGATTTCGAAATTTGACCAACCAAGCCTTTGATTTCACCTTGTGTTGCTACAGAAAAAGATTTTTCGTGGTCAAGAATTTTCTTTTCTTTCCAGGTCACAGCTCATGCTCATTTCTTTTTCAGTCAGGATTCTCCCATTATTGATTAGAAAATCATTAGTTTTTTAAAAAAATTTCCAACATGCCCGATCACTCAAATTCGGTGGTCATTCGAAAAGCAACCTTTGCTGTGGCCCACTAATGATGTGATATTTGAAAAAAAAAAAAATCTTAGAAAAGATTTTAGAAAGAAAACTCTTTCAAAATTTGACCCATGTATGGCCGGCTTAACTCTTGCAGTAATAGGTGCAATTCATTTTCAGTAACAGGCGCAATAACTTTTTCCATTGGGGTTTTTGTAGATGGCACTGAAAGGAGACAGAGAATATAGGAAGGTGTACACTGGCAACTCCGGAGACTGGTGCCTAGAGTGCATATAGCGGCATCCCTATGCTCACCCTCCTCAAATTGGAACCTTTCCCTAACACTCAGTCTTCCTCCCTGACAGAGTTGGTCCTCCTCTCTACATTAACCACTCACAGAATGTGTGCAAAACCCCCTATTTAAAAAAGCTGCTCCAACCAAGATGGCCTTGGAAGGTCACCAGGGATTGCAGTGTCCAACAGCTGCTCTCCCTTGTTATGCCTATGGAGGTTCCAGAGGGAAAACACCCCTCTGAGTCTCCACAATCAATGTAGTGGCAAGATGCTCCCTGCTGAATGGAGCAAGAACTACACTTGCCTACATACTGAGGCCTATCTTCACAATACTGTGCAACACAAGGATGAGGCATTTTATTTCAACATGCTTCTTAATTTAGGATCCAAGTAATGGTGATAACAGTTCCACCTACTGGCATTCATAAAGTTTCATATAAAGGTGTTCAACACCATGCTGTAATTTACTTCCATGGCTTTAGAAGAGGGGGTATTGGGGTGCTACAAATTTCTTGCCCAAGAGTGGGACCCTCCTTTACATATCTACTCCAAAATAATTTCCTTAATGATGTTTCCAGCCCATAACAGGGTAGGCACACAAATGGAAAAAGCTCAGTCCAGAACAAACTCAAAACATACCCTTTATAAAGGCTATTACCTTCCAATGCCTATTGAAAGCATGCAGCAGGGCAATGACTCCTTCCCAGGAAGGGAATTGCCACTGGGACATACTTACAACTACATGTTGTCCCTTCTATCTCCCATGGAGGACTGACTCACATGGCATGATATGTGATATATATCAAGGTCATGTCAAAATATCCACCCAAATCCAATGAGATTTCAGTGCCAATAGTAGGCATTGGCTTCCCCAAAAGGAGAAGTACATACTTAGAGGCGCTGTGTTATTCTTTGTTTCCCTTCTGCAGAGTTATGCTTCGCTCCTACGCAGCTTGCCCTTAGTGCCTACTGGACTACCCTTACCCCTGCCCATTTGGAACTCAGCAGTGGCCATGTGACTGCTTTTTGCTCCATACAGCAACACCATGTTCTAAAGGGGTAAGAGAGATCCCGACAGCCAAACAGGGGACTACATCTACCCACAGTAATGGGGAGAAGTAGTAAATGAAACGCCCTGTAAATGAAACGCCCTGACACCCCCTTACATGCATTATAAAATTAAAGTAGAACTATAGGCAAACCTTTTTTTGGGATAGAGTAAGGGAGAGTCATAACCCGTCAGTTTATCTTTTGCCATCTGTGTTCCATTGGGGAGATTTCCCTTCACTTCCTGACCCATACCCAAAAACGAAAGTGAGAGGAAATTTCAGCATATTAAGGGAATCCCTTGGGGACACCCAGCTTACCAGAACTAGTGTCCCCATTGGAAGATTTCTCCTCTATTACTTTTCTGGGGGAAAGATACAATTGAGTACTGTCTGTGATACTTTTTTTATTTGCACTAACATACGATTTTTCAAGACAATCTTTTGGGGTGTACCCCCTTCTTCAAGGTCCAAGCATTACTAATGCACAAAGTTTTAGCAGAACGTTAAAGTAACTTTAAAGGATAAGTTCAGCTATGGGAATATGTTACATGTTACATTTTCCACCCGTTTGTAGGGTGGAACATGTAACACGTTCCCATAGCTCCAGCTATGTCCGCCCCCTTCCTCTGACAGATAATACGGGAAGAAGACTCGCCATACTATTTTTCACTATTGAAAACAGAGTGGCCGCTCAGGGCTCTGCCCACACAACAGCCTCATTCATTCACTGACCTCCGCAAATGAATGAACTGCAAGTCCTGGCATCCTTAGCGGCTGTGGGCTTGTAATTTTCCATGAATTACCACAGTACTGTGGAGTGCCGTGAACATTCATTGAAGCTTCTTGTCAGGATATCTGCTTGTCCATACATCGCATATGGCAAGCAGATATTCTGACAGGTCTGCAGGAGACATGGCATAGGCGATTTACTGATCGCTAGTGCAATGCTTTACAGGCTCCTTTGGACAAAAATAATAAATGCTAATTTTTTTACCTGCAAAAATATGTGCATTTATTATTTTTGTCCAAAAGGTGAACTTATCCTTTAACATTCTGCTAAAACTTTCTTTATTAGTGCTGCTTGGACCTTGAAGAAGGGGGTACACCCCGGAAGCCTGACCTGAAATATTATATATTAGTGCAAATAAAAAAAGTTTAATGGACAGTACTTAAAGTTTTACTAAACCAGCAGGTCTGGTGATACAATCATTTATTGTGGCTGTGAATAACAGGTACCGACAAAATAATTACCTCTGCTGGGTTATCAAAGATCTTCTTTCACACTGCTTAGCTGTTGGAATTATTTTTATTTAAGCACTTTCCAGCGATAACTATAATATTTTCTATATTTTTTTTTATTAGCTTTGAAATTCTTTAAGTGTTACTAAACCCCAGACCCTGCATTCACTATGTCTGGATTCCCCGGACCCTGCATTCACTATATCTGGATTCCTCGGACCCTGCATTCACTATATCTGGATTCCCCGGACCCTGCATTCACTATATCCGGTCTCCCCCCGGACCCTGCATTCACTATATCCGGTCTCCCCGGACCCTGCATTCACTATACCGGTCTCCCCCGGACCCTGCATTCACTATATCTGGTCTCCCTGGACCCTGCATTCAATATCCGGTCTCCCCAGACCCTGCATTCACTTATCTTTACCCTGCATTCACTATATCTGGTCTCCCCAACCCTGCATTCACTATATCTGGTCTCCCCGGACCCTGCATTCACTATATCTGGTCTCCCGGACCCTGCATTCACTATATCTGGTCTCCCCAGACCCTGCATTCACTATATCTGGTCTCCCACAGTACACAGAACATGGAAATGCAATTAGTTTTAGTAAATATAAACTGCTAAATACCTTTTCTCATCAGCAGTTTTTTGTGACTTCTATCAGTGTCCAGCAGAGCACATGTTAACGTTTGTAGGAAGAATTTTCTTTCTGTTCTAGGAGGATGTGAAACCCCTGTCTGGACAGTGCTGATTGGACCTGTGCTGATCGCATGCACTCTGTCAAGAAAAAAAAAATCCTTTCTAGTAATACACACCAAATTGAGCATGTGCATGTGACTACAGATTCAGTTTGTATCAGGTGGTCATTTCAACAAGAGGAGGGGCAGAGAAGAAAGGATCAAACAGCTTTTTTACACAATACAGAGATTAACCCCTTAGGTTCCACAGTAAGTATAACAAGCATGCTTTACTGTATATACAGACTGATTTTACTGTTGTGGGTTTGGTAACACTTTAATTGTTTCTGTCACTAATATGGCTAGAAGTCCTCTCAAACTTTCTGGGGAAACCTAACATTTTAGATTTTTCTTTGCTTTCACTTTGAATGATAATGGTACCCAGGACAAAAAGCGAAGATGAATCTCCCTGTAATGCCTATGAAATGTGTTGGCCTTGGACCCTTTGTTTCTTTTTTTTACAATAAAGCATTGTTGCCCAAATGCCAGGGGCATGAGAGGTGACTAATGTGTCATTTCTGTAGGCCAAAGGAACAGAATCACAAGATATTCTGCTGAGAGCAAGATAAAAACTTGTTTATGGAAATTGAACGTGTTTATGACATCTAGTAACCTCACATTAGGAGATAAAAACCTGTTTAAAGACGTCTACTTGCTTGAGAAGTTAGAAATCCTTAAGTCTGGGGTAGATGAGAAGAAGTTTTGGGATAGATAGGAAGCAAAAGTGTCACTTTTCAGATAACGAATATGGTGGTTGAACATGACTCTGTTATCCTCGCAGAGCCCTTCTGCCAGCTCCTCCTGTGGTGGGTGTGGTGCCCGCCCACTATTGGATAGCTTCCAGAAAATTGGTTTAAAAGGCAGAGGTCCAGGCGAGACCAGGAAGAAGCCCCCCTAGTGGCCAGAGGATGCTCTGATGCTGGGATTTTTGCCAAGGCTATATGGGCTCATCAACTGGTCTCGCCTACGGCTTCCCCGTGACCTCCTGGGCAGTGTGGTTCTGATGGGATCTGCTCCTTTGAGCTTGTAACATAGCTTTGGTAATGTATTAATTCTATGATGTGACGCTGTCAAATGATGTGTCTATTTCATGCTGTAATGCTCACATTATTATTGGTGTGTGTTATTATGCAGATTGTGATGACTATAAGATATATCCTCCTGTGTGTCATGTGATAATAAAAGTGGAGGTTATGACGGTGCAAGAATATTGCAGTTGGCTTCTGTTATTTCTTGGAGTGCTGGGTAAATGCTATGATGTGTCAGGGCAGGTGTTTTTTCATTTGGTAGAGTGTCTTTCACATGCGTAGAATATGTAATGGTGTAAATGCTGATTAAAAGGTACCTGCATGACTACATGATGATTGTGTGCGTGTATATGACTTGCTTTTAGTTATTGCACACAGCATTTCTATTACACTCCCTAATGGGAGGCACAGACAGCAATAAAAACTGACTCGCGTTCTAACCCCTCTCCCTTCTGTATAGAACAAAACAAAAAATTGTTGCCTTTTGTTGTACTTTGTTGTAAGGATATAAACATGCTTTGTGCTTGCAATAAATCTGTTTCTGGCATCTAAAAAAAAATATTCCATATTTGCTTGCAATAAACATTTACATTTTTTCCATCGGATGTTCTTGTATTATCATACGACCACTTCCATGAACATCATGCTCACGCTCAACTCTTGTATTTGTATAAACCATTGGTACAACCAAGGTATTTGCATTACCATTTGCATCATACATTCAACAAAGTCACGTTCTATCAATAAATAGAGCTCATCTATCAATTTTATACACACAGCTCTTGTATGTGATTGCAAACATGGAGAATTCCCCAAAAAAAGACTATGATGAAATTATTCTAGAACAAAATCTGTTTCCATTAGCCTTGCTTACAGCATTAGTGCTGGTAGGTCTGGTGACACAATCATTTATTGTGGCTGTTAATGTCATTGACTGGCTGAATGGAAGATCCATAACAGGTGCGGACAAAATTATCACCACTATTGGGATATCAAGGATCTTCTTTCATGCTGCCTTGTTCTTGCAGTTATTTTTATTGTATTTCTTCTCAGAGATAAGTATAATATGTTCTATATTGATTATATTCACTTTGAATTCCTTATCTTTTTCCAATATCTGGTTATCAACCATGCTCTCCATCTTCTTCTACTTTAAGATCTCCACCTTTCACAATGTGTTTATCTTACGTCTAAAGACCATCATATCAAAGAGGGTCGTCTACCTGATTATTGCCTCTTTCATTTTGTCTTTGGGATATTCATCAGTGAATTGTTTGTTCGCTTTTAATATGTTCTTTAGAAATTCAACACAAGATAACATTTCAGACATTACTAATCAGCTGAAAACAATGCACTATTTTAATACATTGTGGAATGTTTTACCCCTTCCCATGTACTTCATAGCTTCGGTTTTGCTTATCATTTTGCTTGGTCTTCACACAAGTAGACTGAATAATCGTGGTAATGTAGACACCTACCGTAGGACTATAACATTTACTGTTTTCTCTTTCCTGGTCTGTAGTTTTTTTATTGCAGTGAATTTATTGCAAATGTATATGGAATTATTGGGAATGTTTTGGTGTTATCTTATAACAAACATTTTCCCGGCTCTACACTCTATTTTGCTTATTTATGTAGCAACAAAACTAAGAAATCAGTTCTTCAGGATTGTCCATTGTTGGACTGATTGCTTGTTCAACAGAAAAAAAACTCCAGGACCTCGCCCTAGAGAGCCGGAGGAGGTGACCCCTTTGTGACTGATAGCAAGATAGTGAACAATGTCTTAAAGCAGAAATATGGGAAATTTGTTTTTTGGCCCATGCTGTAGGGCCGTACCAGCAGTGCATGGGTCAAATGCTCATCTTGTTCTAGGGGAGAGGACACCAAAGATATACTCACTTGACCCACTGAACCTTCCCACTCAAGACTGGTCCTTTCAGCTCCTGCCCCTCTGTGGTCCAGCAGTATTGTACATGGGCTGTTTGTGACGTCAGCATGCTCAATGCATGCTCCACAGACAGGAACAGTCCACTGCTGGATCATGGGAGAGGTTTTCCATTGGATCAGTGGGTCAGGTGAGTATGAGCTTAGCCCTCACCCCTAGAAAAAATGAGCAGCTGATCCATGCAGTGGGGGACAACTGCATGGTAAAAAAAAATCTAACTGGAGTTCTGCTTTACGGCGCAATAATAAAAACTGTTTTTTTTTCTTTGAGTTTGTATTGGTAATATGGATTGATTTTATTGACTTATAATCATATTCATAATAAGCAGATGGGGGAAAGCAGTAAACTCAGAACTACTTATTTATATACATATCATTTACTCATTTATATTAATTTATAAATGTTGTGATGTCTTCATTTAAATGTAACACCAACCATTTTATAAACTTTTTTGTTGTGGATTCATTAGTGAATTATAGTCATTTTGATTTTTGCATAACGGGAGTAGTTAGGAATCATTAGACAATGAACTGTATCAATATTCAGTACAATTATCCAATCATGGCAAGAGCAACTTGCTGTTTTTCTACTATGAATGGCTAAAATTGCAGAATAAATAAATAATCAGCAATTTGCTGTTCACATAATTGGATAAGTGAAAATTCTCACAATTTGTCATGTAAAGATGCTTAACTCCTTTAGTAAATCAGCCTGATTATATAATTAATAAGCAGTTAGTAAAAAACTGCAAATGTATAAATATTCTTCTTTGACTGTTGTAATAAATCACTGTAAGGAAAAAATACAATTATTTTAAAGATGTACAGCTTTTTTTATATTTTAGTAAAACTTTGATGAATGTATTAGATTGTAAGCTCTAATGAGCCAGGCCCTCTGTTTCCTCTTGTACCAAATTGTGTTGTAATTGTAATGTCTGCCTTCATTTGTAAAGCGCTGAGCAAACTGTACACGCTATATAACTTCTGCATAATAATATATTTGAGTCATGCTGAATTAACATACAACATGTACTATATTAAAATTTTACAATAAGCAGTTAGATAAAAGCAGCAAATTTATAAATACTTATTCATCATCTTCTTCGACTGTCTTGTGTCTTGTATAAATACTGTATTCTTCTTTGACTGTTTTAATAAATCTTAATTAGTAAAAAATACAATTATTTAAAAAAAATGTACAGCTTTTTTTTTTTCTTAATTTTAGTAAAACTTTGATGAATGTACCGTATTTTTCGCTCCATAAGATGCACCTGACCATAAGACGCACCTAGGTTTTAGAGGCAGAAAACAGGAAAAAAATATTCTGAACCAATGAACTGCAGACACAGTACAGGAGATGACCAGAGACTGCAGGCATAGTACAGGAGAGGACCGGAGACTGCAGACACAGTACAGGAGATGACCAGAGACTGCAGACATAGTACAGGAGATGACCAGAGACTGCGGACATAGTACAGGAGAGGACCAGAGACTGTGGACACAGTACAGGAGATGACCAGAGACTGCAGACATAGTACAGGAGATGATCAGAGACTGCAGACATAGTACAGGAGATGACCAGAGACTGCAGACATAGTACAGGAGATGACCAGAGACTGCAGACATAGTACAGGAGATGACCATGGACTGCAGACATAGTACAGGAGATGACCAGAGACTGCAGGCATAGTACAGGAGATGACCAGAGACTGCGGACACAGTACAGGAGATGACCAGAGACTGCGGACACAGTACAGGGGATGACCAGAGACTGCAGACATAGTACAGGAGATGACCAGAGACTGCAGACATAGTACAGGAGATGACCAGAGACTGCAGACATAGTACAGGA